AAAAAAGACCTGTATCTTGACTTAAGTGCTCTCCCTTTCTCAAAATTATAGTAATATTTGTTTAAAGTTTGCATGGTGTTCGTGTGGGCTTCTTTTGTCTTTTCTATGTGTGCTTAATATATGTATTAGAAAACAATCATATCTTGGTAAAATGCAGCTTCTATGTACGTATTAATTAGGAAAACCTGTTTCTATAACTTGTCCTTTTCCTTAATTTTATTCTTTTGGTGAGTTCCTTAAACGTATTCCTAGTTCTTCTTCAAAGCAAGTATACATAGTCCAGAAAATCCACATAAATATGAAAGAATCTGAATAAGCCTAATTCTTCTCAACAGGCTAAAGAGTGGACCTATAACAAAAGTTAAAGCTGGATAAGCCGAGAGAGATGAAAGAAGCTAAAACGGCTTGATGTGATTATGGTTAATTAAGTGAAACGTTTAAGAGATATATAGTGGATATTTTAGATAAATGATCTTATAATATAATTAAGGCTATTAAATATCTTTCTTAAGAAATATGCTAAAACCTTAAAATTAAAGACATATAGTATATATTATGCACAAGTCAAACCACTAACTTTATAAAGAAATAATATTTCATTCTGAAGGTAATTTATTCATTGTAGATTATTTTTTTCTTAAATTGAATCCATAAACGCAAGCTTTCACTAGTGTGGTTGGGTTAGTAGGATAACTTACACCAAAGATAGGAGGACGTCTCCTATTTACAACTGGTCCTATTTAGTCCAACCATGTCTCTTTATAATAATATTGCTAATGGTCATGTTATGTTATAATATAATATATGCTCTATAATAACAGTTCGCCATAACAGGCAAATATCTCATAACAAGTAAGGTTATTACAGAAAGATTTAACCGTATTACTTCCGTGCTTCATTAATAAGGTTATCGACATATATGACAGTACATGCTGAAATGTTTATTTTCTACTTGAATTTTCAGCGGCAGTAGAGAAAGATGGTCACAAGCAAACTTCAATGACGCGAATGGCCTCAGATCAACCTCTTTTCCATCTCAACAAAGATCTGGCCACCATATAGAGGTACTACATCCCTCATTCTTTTCTCGTTCTATACCGTACAAGTGTCAAATCTATTAATGCAGTCGGAACTAGCCTATTCGTGCCGTCACATTTGCTTAAATATTGAATTTGTACTAGAAAATATATTAAATATATATAAATATTTAATTACGAACCCATTAACTAAGATAAACTATGAGTTTTGTGACAAATTCAGAACCCATAAACTTCAAACTAATATAGTTATAATTTATCTATGAACCTCAAAAGCAATATTTTCTTCTGACATCGTATTGGGGCAGGATGGATGAAATATAGACTCGCTTTCGATGTTTTGTGTGACAAGAACGTGCCACCGAAACTTAAAGGTAATTTCTACAGAGTGGTGGTCAGACCGACGATATTGTATGGGGTTGAGTGTTGGCCAGTCAAGATCGGTTATGTACCAAAAGATGAAGGTAGTAGAGATGAGAATGTTGAGATGGATGTGTGGGCACACCAGGTTAGATAGGATTAGAAATGAGGTTATTCGCGATAAGGTGGATGTGGCCCTTATTGAGGACAAGATGCGGGAAACGCGACTTAGGTAGTTTGGTCATGTGAGGAGGAGGAGCACAGACGCCCCAGTGAGGAGGTGTGAGATGTTGACATTGGAGGGCCTACGGAGAGGTAGAGGTAGGCCAAAGAAGAGGTGGGGAGAGGTGATTAGGCAAGACATGGCATACCTTCAGCTGACCGAGGACATGGCCCTTGATAGGAAGGTATGGATGTCGAGGATTAGGGTAGTAGAGTAGGTAGTCTAGTGTGTTCATAATAGTAGTATTGGCACGCAGTTTCGCTTTCTGTTAGTAGTAGGTTTTTATGACTAACCATTATTTTCTTTTATTGTTGATCACCTTACTATCTTGTTGTTTTTATTCTGCTTTTATATGGCTTTTTGGTGCTGTCCCTTCTTGTCAATATTTTCATTAATATGGTGCTTATGCTTTCCTGAGTCGAGGGTCAATTGAAAACAACATCTCTCTATCCTCACAAGGTAGGAGTAAGGTCTGCGTACACACTAAATTCCCCAGACCCCACGGTGTGGGATACTACTGGGTATGTTATTGTTGTTGTTGTATAATTCCGTAATTATGTCAACTTAATCAAATGTTAGTTGTTTTAGCCCAAATTGTAACTTAAATTTCACATTTATTCGACGTTTTAAACGAGTCAATTAAAATCAAGGAGCAATCTTTACTAGATTCTTAGTTATTTTTGCAAAGACTTTAGTGTATTGGATCTAGCTTATCAATGGGAAATGAGACTTCCCCGTTTCTCCCAAATGTGTCCAATAGTTCTGGAGTTTAAATTTGAACTAAATGTGTGAAGATAATATATTTTGCAGGAACGTGAATATTCAAGGCCAGTGAGTTATGTAGGTTGCAGTTTGGATCAGAGAAATCCTAGCTTGGAGTTCACATTAGGAAGACCAGATTAGGTAGAAAAGGAGCATGATTGAAGTGCATAAACCCTTCAATTAACTTTGTTTTTGGCTTAGCTGATTCTTCTAATCTTCCTCTTCTTCTTTTTTTTGTAATTTGAGATGAAAAGAGATGGTATCAAGTTTGAAATATTAAGAGTTATTGGATAAAAAAGAAAAGAAAAAAGGAATGGTTTTCACATGCAGCTTCAACTCGGGGCTCTTTCGTTGCTGATCTCCCATGCATATATAATTTTTTTTGGGTTTTGTCAATTTGACTTTTATTTTTTCTCTTTTTTTTTGGTTCATTTTTTCTTATTTGAATCTCTTGGGTTGGCTATGAGTTTGTAATGTAAAAGTTGTTAGAAGATTGTACTGAATGTAGCTTGAGGCATGTAAGGACACATTCGGAATATTAGTCCAAAAGCAAACAAACTAGAGCAAATTACACATTTGGCAGATTAGTCAAAAATAATTACTAGCCAAATATATATAAAATATATATATATATATATATATATATTGATATATAAAAAATATACAATAATCCTTTTTTCTCTCGGTACACGTTAGGTGCTAGCTAACCTGCGCCTTCGCCAGAAATGGAAGGAAGAGGGAGACCAAAGAAAAATACCAGCAAAACACCAGTGTTAGAACGACAATTAACTGATATCATCACGCGAGAGCAAGGAAAACAAAATGCAAAAGCAAAAGAGAAAATATAAGAGGAAGATCTGGATCTGGTAAGTGATAGCGACCTAAATTGGCCAGATCTGAGTAGCAATCGAACTAAATTGGCAACAATGATGAGCCTAGTCACTCAATTGATGCCTAAAATGAACTCCGGAGTGAAGCGATTAGCTGTATCGACGACCTCAGTTGGTGGTATGAGTACGAGCAAAGCACAAAGCAATGGACCAGTAAATGCAAACTTGACAAAGGAACAGGAAAATGTTGCGATTGACGCTGAGAAACACATGCATGAGAAGAAAGCAGTACAGAATGGATATGGGGGAAGATCCTGGGAAGGTTTGTTCCATGAAAACAAATTTGCAGCAAAGGGAATGAACTTATCGTACATTCCACCGGTGATACAGGACGGGAAAGTTGTAATGCAATTATTGGAAGAGGACATAGCAGAGGAAAATCAAAAGTGGAATCGAGCAATAATCTTGTACGTGGTTGGAAATACTCCAACTATTGGGGCAATTGAACGATTCATAGCAAGCCAGTGGAGTAAGGTCAGAAAACCTAAGGTACTCTTCCATAATGATGGGTATTTCATAATTTTGATGAATAGCTGTAAAGAGAGGGATGAAGTGTTAATGAATGGGTATACTATGAATAGCAGACCAATCATACTCAGGCCATGGACAGAAGGATTCGATTTTAATGAGGAAGTGCTTAAAACCATTCCTCTATGGGTCAAATTCCCCAAGCTACCACTGAACTATTGGAGTAACCAGGACCTAAGTAAAATTGGGAGTGGTTTGGGAAAGCCCTTATATGCTAATGCATGTACTACAGTAGCTGATAGAGTCTCATATGCTAGGGTATTAATTGAAATGGATATCACTAGGCTATTACCAGGATCAATCAAATTATATGATCCCAAGGGAAAGGTGATTGAGCAGATGATACAATATGACTAGAAGCCTCAGTACTGCCAGACATGTTGCCAAATAGGCCATTCATGTAGAGACAAAAAGAAGCAAAACCAGGAGGGTGGACAATAAAGAGTTCTTAAGCAGAAACAGAAACAAGAATGGAGAATAGTGAGGGTGATTGACCCTAAGGTGGATAAAGTTGATGCTCATGGTAGATTTCTGGATCAACTGAAATCAGAAGGTGATGAGGTTCCTACCAAGCAGGTAAAAGAAGAACAATGGAAACTGGCTAGAGGAAAGTCTGCATAAAAAAAAACATGGGAGCTATAAGTGAAAATGAAGTAAACATAGGCAATGCTTTCAAAGCTCTATTTGATACAGCACAGAAGATTGTGCAACTCTCTAAGGCTCATGAGAAAAGAGGGCAATATAGTGGAAGGGATAGAGGAGGAGAATATAAAATACCTACTATATAATGATGAATATCATATCATGGAATGTTAGGGGTCTAAATAAAGTATATAAGCAAAAAGAACTCAAAATATTAGTAGAGAAAATAATGTGGTACTAATAGCTATTCTGGAGAATAGAGTCAAGTAACCTAATGTTGATTCAATAATTAAGAAGGTGTTTAATAACTGGCAATGGGTAGCAAATTATGATGCAGCTCCATGAGGCAGGATATGGGTAGTATGGGATCAAACAAAGGTAGAGTTTAAGGTATTGCAAATACATGAACAATATATTGTAGGATATGTGAACATGAACCAGAACAGAATCAAGTTTAACTTTGGTGTTGTTTATAGAATGCATACTATACAAGACAGGAAGATATTATGGGAGGATCTGGGGAGAACTATGGCTAGAGTCAGTGGCCCGAGCTTAATAATGGGTGATTTTAATACTATTCTATCTAGCGAGGATAGAGTGCAGGGGAATGCAGTACAAGAGATAGAGGTGAGAGTTTTTAAAAATTTCATAATAGATGTTGGATTAGACGAACTCAGAACAGTGGGGAGAAAGTTCACCTGGACAAATAACCATGTTCATAGTAGAATTGATAGAATACTAATAAATGCAGAGTGGATTCAAAAATGGCCTGCGATGGAGGGGATTATTATGAACCCTAGCTTTTCAGATCATTGTCCTTTGAGCCTAGTTATTGATGACACTAGCCAAGAAGGTAGGCGACCTTTCAAGTTTCTCAATTGTTTGGAAAATCACAAAGAATTTGATGACATAGTTAAGCACTTCTGGAGAAAGAGGCAAAGGGAAAATGCAATGCTAAAGGTGTGGAATAAGCTCAAAATGCTAAAAGGAGATCTAAAGCAGCTGAACAATCAAAAATTTAACAAAATTGGGCACAAGATTGAAGTAGCAAGGAACAAATTAGAAGATATCCAGGCTCAAATGACAACTCCAGGGAATGACAATGAGGCAATATTACAAGAAAAGACCGCAAAACTTGAACTGCTAAATGGTTGGAGGTGGATGAGTGTATACTGAAGCAGAAATCAAGAATCAAATGGCTCAAACTAGGGGATCCCAGCACATCATACTTCCATGCCTGTGTGAAAAATAGACAAGCAAAGAATCATATTGGCAGACTAATCAATAGTGAAGGGCAAATACTTCAAAGTGCAAATGAAGTAGAAGAGGAAATAATGAGTTTCTACAAAAAAAACTACTTGGTACAATAGCTTCACAATTACCAGTGGTCATACCAGAGATCATGTAGAATGGTTACATGTTGAGCAGGCAGCAAAAGCTATAGCTAAAAGCCAGTTACTAGAGAGGAAGTTACGAAAGCAATACTAGATATTGATGATAATAAAGCACCGGGATGTGATGGATATAACTCATATTTCTTCAAAAAGACATGTCATATTCTGGGGGATGAGGTTACTGCAGCAGTGATGGAGTTCTTTGAAAGTGCAGAAATGTGTAAAGCCATTAACTGCACCAATATTACCTTGATACCTAAAGTCAAGAACCCAACGAGCATCAAGGAGTTCTGGCCTATATCTTGTTGCACTATGCTTTATAAGATAATATCAAAAGTCCTAAAAGCAAGATTACAGGAAGTTATGTCAGACCTAATTGATAACTGCCAAACAACTTTTGTGCTAGATAGAATGATTACTGATAACATCATTATGATTCATGAATTGGTGAAAGGTTATGGGAGGAAGAACATGTCATGCCCCAAAAACCGAGGAGCACGACCGGCGCTCAACCGAGTGAATCCGGCCAAGCAAGCCTATTAGATTTTCTTCTACCCAAACTCATTCATGAATAAAGAGAATATATATGTTTTCGTTAATCAACCAATAAAGTGATTATGTTGCAATACCAATTTCTTACCATCAGTTACTTTATTTTAAAGTCTCAATTCCAAACATATTTTTCATAATCTGAAGTGGAAATAATAATTCAAGTACAACACTCAAGTTTGACTTCCCCAGCACCATCATACAACTCACACTATGTCTACGAAGCCTCTATAGATAAAGATGAGTACAATGATAATGCCGGCAACAAGCCCCCGGCTATACCTCAAACAGAATACACAAAGAACAAAAGATACATCACCCCGGGATGAAGTGGGGATCACCAAGTCAGTTGGGAAGAAGGTGTGCTGCTATCTCTGATCAATATCTCCTGCTGTGGAACCACCTACATCCATTTAAAGATGCAGCGCCTCCGACAAAAGGGACGTTAGTACCGTAGAATATTACTAGTATGAAAACTAAATACCAATTTAAGAATTCAGAAATACAAGGTGAATATGATGAACCAGTGCATCAATAGAATAATACAGATAACCGTTTAAACCAGAGCAAGCTTGTTAAGAGCTATCAATAACATTTATAGGATTTAAAATGAGATCCTCTGTAACCATCTTCACACAAAGCGGCCCTGCCGCCTCACCCGGTGTATGCAGGTGGAGGTGTAAGTACAATACCACAACTCTACTCAAGCGGCCATGCCGCCTCACCACAATGTATGCGGGTGGATGTATAACCACAGTACCAAGAACCTATACAAGTGGCTATGCCGCCTCACCCCAATGTTTGCAGGTGGAAATGCATCAACGATACTAATACCAACACAAAACGGCTATGCCGCCTCACCCCAATATACGCAGGTGGAAATGCATCAACGATACCAATACCAACACAAAGAGGATATGCCTCCTCACCCCAATGTATGCGGGTGGAAATGCATCAACGATACCAATACCAATACAAAGTGGCTATGCCGCCTCACCCCAATATATATGTGAGTGGTGGTGCCACAACAATACCAAATTATACACAAAGCAGTCGTACCGCCTCACCCCAATGTATGCGGGTGGAGGTGCAGTCCCACAATACCATAATCCCTATACAAAGCGGTCATGCCGCCTCACCCCAATATATATGCGAGTGGAGGTGTATCACAATCACAATCTCTATACCATAATCCCCACACAAAGTGGTCATGTCGCCTCACCCTAATGTATGCGGGTGGAAGTGTATCACAATCACAATCTCTAAACAACTTGGCATAATAACTTTCACCTAAATCACGACTAGAAATTATAACATGTGGATACATAATCCATAGTTTAGGACACATTCTCAATTTATAATACAATATGATAAGAGCATTTGAAACCCAAATTGAACATATATATTCATCACAAAACTTATCGAAATACTCCATTTATAATCAACATCTCGGAACTTACAAGGATGTCGGGAATTTCAATTCTTAAAGAAGAGTTTAGCCAACATACCTCAATTGAGCTTCCTTAAACTCTAAAACATTCCGGAATTCTTAGCCACTTCAATCTATTTTAGAAATATAACAAATTGAATCAAAATTAGGAAGATGATTATGGTTCTAGCTCATTTGAGCATTTTATCAAACACTAGGTGTGCATTAAGGTTTCAAAGTCCTTTTATGGAGGATTCCATCATCCCACAACCTAATCTTTACCATGCTTAATTCAACAATCGTCCTACACCCCTTGATATCACATGTATGTAAAATAAACAACTCTCATGCCAAAAAATTATCTTGCTGATTACTCATTTTCAGATAATTTTGAAATTAGGGTTTAGGGTGTAGAATCTTACCTCTAGGATGAAGACCTAGTGAGCTTCCCTTCCTAATCATCTAAATCTTGAGAAAGAATTGAAGAACAATTATTGAAGAATACCTTCTCACTCTAGGGCACTCTCTCTCACTCTAAAGTGTCAGATTATGACTCAAAAATGGTCCAAAGAGTGTATTTAACAAAATAGAGTCGGGTTTTAAAAATCCAAAAATAGAGCTCCGAAACAAGGTATGCGATCGCATAACCGATATGCGGACCGCATACCGGTCTCATAATTGGTTACAAAATAGCCAAAAGAACTGTCTGTGTATGCGGTCACTATGCGGTCCGCATAACTGTTATGCGGTCGCATAATGCACCGCATAACAGTTATGCGATCGCATAGTCGACCGCATAGCCGCTTCCAAAATGGCCCTCTCCTGCTCACTTCTGCGGCCATTATGCGGCCCACAGAGTGATTATGCGGTCGCATAATGCACCGCATAACAGTTATGCGATCGCATAGTCGACCGCATAGCCGCTTCCAAAATGGCCCTCTCCTGCTCACTTCTGCGGCCATTATGCGGCCCACAGAGTGATTATGCGGTCGCATAATGGACTGCATCTTTTCCGGCAAAAATATTTCTTTATTTTTCCGTGCACTGTTCAACCCAAAAAGTCTGAGTCGCGGATCCTCAAACACGTAAGCCTAATCCGGCACCATGAAATATTATTTTCTTTGCAAATTTTACCGGTATTTACACTTAAAAACTTCGAAATTTTCTGGAGTGTTACAGAACATATCGCCAAGGTGTATTGTTAAGATTGATATGCAGAAAGCTTATGATTCTGTGGAATGCGTATATATTGAGCAAGTGATGAAGCTGCTGGGATTTTCTGAAAAATTTGTAAAGTGAATAATGGTGTGTATTAGTACAGCTGCTTACTCTGTGATAATTAATGGCAAGCCAACTAAGCCATTTGAGGCAAGGAAAGGACTTAGACAAGGGGATCCCCTGTCATCAGTGTTATTTGTGATGGCCATGGAATATTTGTGTAGATTACTGAAGACACTGAAGAAGAACAAAAAGTTTAAATTCCACCCAAAATGTGCTAAAGTCAACCTATTACAATTGGGATTTGGTGATGATTTACTTCTATTTTGTAGAGGAGACATACAATCAGTCAAGATTTTACATCAACAGTCCCAGATATTCTCTGCAGCATCACGTTTAATTGCAAATCCAAATAAAAGTTATATTTACTTTGGAGGAGTGAACAACATGACACAACAGCATATTATGGACATGTTAGGATACACTAAAGGAGAGCTACCTTTCAAGTACCTAGGGGTCCCATTGAGCGCAAATAGACTGTCAGCTATTCAGTGTGAACCCCTAATTGATAGAATGTTAAGCAGGATTCAATGCTGAACAACAAAGTTTTTGTCATATGCAGGCAGAGCAATGCTAATCAAGAGTGTTCTAGTTGCAGTTCAGACATTTTGGGCTCATATCTTTATTCTACCAAAGAAGATTATCCAGTTCATAGAAACAATATGGAGGAGATTCTTATGGTCGGGGAGTGCAGAACCTACCAAAAAGTCATTGATTGCTTGGGACAAATTATGTGCTCCAAAGGTAGCAGGAGGTTTAAACTTCATCAATGTGGAGCTGTGGAACAAAGCAGCTATCTGCAAGCTTTTATGGAACATCTGTACAAAGAAGGAAAATGTGTGGGTTCAGTGGATTCATGCATACTACATAAAGGGGAAAACTATATGGAGCAGAGAACCAAAAAGTGCATCATGAATCATCCAAAAGATATTCAAGGCAAGAAGACACTTTGAGGTTGCTGGATATACAGAAGAGGAGGTGAACAAGATGGAGAAATTCTCTGTGAATCACATGTACAAAGCTATGCAAGGGAAATTTCAGAAAGTGTCATGGAGAAAACTAGTGTGTAATAATCATGGACTTCCAAAGTGGATATTCATACTAAGGTTGGCAATACAAGATAGGTTAGCTACAAAAGAAAGGCTAGCAAGATGGGGGATCATAGAAGACAAAACATGCTTACTATGTCAAAGAGAAATTGAAAATATACAACATTTATTTATTGACTGTGAAATATCAGCAATCAGAATCTTCTACATTGGCAAGGCATTCAGAGAGCAAAGAAAGGTTGGCAGGAAGAGCTGAAGTGGATCGAAAAGATGGCTAAAGGGAAAAGTGGAGGAACAGCAGTATGCCGAATGGTACTGGCAGCAACAGTTTATCATATTTGGCAAGAGAGAAACAATGTCCTATTCCAGAATAAGAGGAGAACTACTAATGCTATTTTCAGACTAATTATCCAAGAAATACATGTTAGAGCCAAGATGTTTCCTAGGCTAGATAGATGCATGATTGTACTGAATCGG